AAAAAATAGCCAGGCATGGTGGACGCCTATAGTCCCAGCTACTTGGGAGACTGAGGCAAGAGAATCACTGAAGCCCAAGAGTTTGAGGTTGCTGTGAGCTGTGATGTCATGTTACTCTACCAAGGATGACATAAAGAGACTTTGTCTCAAACAAACAAACTGGCTCAGTGCCTGCGGCTCAAGCAGCTAAGATGCCAGCCAAATACACCTGAGCTGTCGGGTTTGAATCTAGCCCAGGCCTGCCAAACAACAATGACGCCTGCAACCAAAAAAAAAAATAGCCAGGTGTTGTGGCAGCGCCTATAATCCCAGCTATTTAGGAGGCGGAGGCAGGAGAATCGCTTGAACCCAAGAGTTGGAGGTTGCTGTGAGCTGTGAGGCCACAGCACTCTACCTAGGGCAATAGCTGGAGGCTCTATCTCAAAAAAAAGAAAAAAATAAAAAACAACTATACTTCATGCCTCATGGGCCCAGCATGGCTAGGAGCCTACCTCCCACTCTCATCTCTCCACTGCTTCTCACTCACTGCTCTAGCCACACTGGCCTCCTCATCCCACAGCCTTTGCGCAAGTATGCTCTCTGCCTAGAGAACCTGTTCCTTGCCCTGCCCATGGCTGGCTCCTCCCAGCACCAGGTTTTAGCTCAGACATTACTTCCACAGGGAGACACCTATCATATCATCTGATGCAATGCACTGTCTCTAACCCCAGACTCCATCTGAGGTCACTTCATTTGTATACTCTGCTGTTCATGGCCATCACCATCTGCAAGTTCTTTTTTTTTTTTTTTGTAGAGCCAGAGTTTCACTTTATTGCCCTTGGTAGAGTGCCGTGGCGTCACACAGCTCACAGCAACCTCCAGCTCCTGGGCTTAGGCAATTCTCTTGCCTCAGCCTCCTGAGCAGCTGGGACTACAGGTGCCTGCCACAACACCTGGCTATTTTTTTGTCGCAGTTCAGCCAAGGCCGGATTTGAACCCACCACCCTCAGTATATGAGGCCAGTGCCCTACTCACTGAGCCACAGGCACCACCCCATCTGCAAGCTCTTAAGGGCAGCTTTCTGTCCCCTTGCTGTGCTCTGTGCTCTCATAAATGTTTTTGAATGTACAGCTGAATAAGCTGAGCAGCATGCAGTGTTTTTGGAGGGAAGGGCTCTGTCAGGCAGCCCCAACATCCTCCTTGGACTCTTGGCCAGCTGCAGGCGTTTTTAGGAAGGAGTGGCTCTACTTTATCTGTCCTTCCCACCTTGGCCTGAGGAAATGGATGTCCTCAGTGGGTGCAGCTCTGTGTGTTTGGACAACCCCAGGCTGGGTAGAGCTGCACACTCCACTAAAGACCCCATTATTTGTGGCCTGGGTTTTCATTCTTGCTCAGCCACCTTAGGCGTGTCACCTCCCCTCTGTGAGCTTGGCCTCCTCATCTGAACACAGGCTGGGTCTGTCAATATTCAGGGTCACGGGTCCCAACAAGTCCCATCTAAAGAGATACCTGGCACATGTATTCTCAGCCCCTCTGAGAAGCAACCCCTCCTCTAAGGAGTACTTGCTGTCCTTATTAATGACATCAGGAGGGGGAAACTGCTGACAGATGGTATGAGCACATTCAGGCTGTGCACTCTTAGTTAAGCAGCCTGACTTCTCTGAACTTTGGAAGGTGAATGACACCACTGTAATCCCAGTCGGGGTTGATTATTGTCATCTGTAGTCAAGCCATCCCCCTCTAGCCAGAAATGGTCTCAGTCTCCTGGAGAAGGAACACAGCTGCCTTTCCATTGTGAACACACATCTATGAGCAGCCGGCCTATGATTCCCATTTTGCAGATGAGAAATAGACTTGTGGGTGGCGCCTATGGCTCAGAGGAGTAAGGCGCCAGCCCCATATGCCAGAGGTGGCAGATTCAAACCCAGCCCCAGCCAAAAGCTGAAAAAAAAAAAAAAAAGAGGAAAGAAACCCCCCCCCCC